ATTAGTCGAAAAGTGGAACGACAGTACCACGCGCAGTGCTTCCTTCCGAAAATGACTGTAGGCAGACCGAAAAGGAATTAAACGATTTTTCCGGAGCTTCCAGCTCTGTGCTACGTTCGTTCCATACAGGAAAGAATTCCGTCATTTATTTGAGTTGACCAACAGGAGAAATGCCGTGTCTTCCCAAAAGTCAGTTGAAATGTTCTAGAGTAACACTTAAATCGTTGGTTATTTCGCGAAACCCTAATGACCTAATCACAAAGCTAAAACTGACCGAAACTCAATCTCCTAATTCATTCACAAGCATCCTAAAAGGGATGCAGTATTTGATTCCTTTATTCGTGTTCATCTCTTATTATCTTCATTCAAATTTTTAACAAGTCTTTCCTATCTGCATGATCCATTTCACTCCAACGGCTTGCTACCAATTTAGTTTGATTTATAGATTGTCTCTATACTTAAAATACTTCGGCAATTTGAAAAATTCACGAACACTAATGACGGCTAAGTAGAACGAACCAGCCAAGACAAAATATTTCAAGCATCCCATTACAGAATGGTATTGGTTATAAACTCCAAAGAATAGGCTCATTCTGGTAGACAGCCTGATGATATCTACCAACAATGGACTCCTCTAGGATGGGGCAAAACGGAATAACAGAAGAAGCTTCGCGGGATTGAAAGGAGAATCTTTCTTCGAGAGATTTGTCGCTATGCGGGAAACGGAGTGCAAGTAAAAATAAAGAGTTAACTTCAATACTAGAGGCCTCCCAAATCAATGGATGTAACAGTTTTAGAGTCTTTTTCAGTCATAAAGTGAATGATGGGTCCAATACAAGTGCACATGCAACAAAACTGTTTCTTGACAAGCTAATCCAAAACACTCACCTGCCTTGGTTCTTTTTGCAGCAAGCAGCGTCACAAGTAATAGTTATTTCATACTTCTCACTCAGCCGTCCGGTCCACCATGTATTATGGGGAATACCTGTCCTTGTAAAATAAATTTAAAACGTGTGAAAAACAAAAAACATTCTGACTATCCTGTACATTAATCTTGCTGCGTCTTGTCTATGTGAGGAAGACAGGAAACGGAACGTTTGCTAGTTTGCAAGCACTGAACAAGAGGTGAGGTGTGAAAACAATCCATAATCAACCCATACGGCATTTAGGAGTGGGAAACACGAAGAAAGTTTTAGGTCACGTGGAGGAGGATTAAGAACAGTGTGAGCATGTTGATGTGATGCCTGTTAACATCAGCACTACTACAGTAGTCACAGGGGATAGCTTTTGCTCTTGAACACAGATGTGATTTTCACCATGAAGTTAACCCAGCATCTGCGCAATGTAAGGGTGAAGTGGAATCGGTCAGACGTATCTAAACAGTGTGTATCCAAAATATTCGTTCATCTGTGACATCCGTTTGGTATCTAACTGCTCTGCAACTCGAAGGGGCAAGATAATGGCGGATCGACCAAGTCTAGTTAGAAGCAGTCGAAAAGTGAAGTTTGGGTTTCAACCATGGGCTACACCGTACTCGTTTTCATAGTTAGCTGAGGGATCAGTTGGCTTTGAGGAGGGATTCTTACTTAGGAAGGACGAGAATTATCAGTACAGACGAACTAAGGATTTCCCTAATCAACCAGTGCATCATAAAAGATAAAAAACCACTTGTCTAAAGATGCTTTTTACCGGATGGGCGATCTATCAGTTTTATCGACTGATTTAGAAAGCCGTTAAGGAAATGCTCTGTTACGAATTGATACTTTGTTCTACCAACATACTGTGCTTAACATGCGGTCATATTTTTTAAACAGTAAGAGATAAATGGGGCTTGGATTCTATTAAAGCTAGACAAATTTACAGGCCCACTGCTTTTGACAAATGCGTCGATTCTGGTGCATAAATGTTACACTACACTACACACAGTAAACGATGATGGATTCTCTTGATAATGTTATCACCCCTAAATGCCAGGTCAAATTGAACTTTTCCATCTGTAAGTGGATGGTGACTAATATATCCTTTCTGGATTCGTGTACTTATACAGTTTCTGACAAGAACGCACCGATAGAATGTTCAAGGTACATTAATGAAAGTTATCTATGCACAGGTGTCTTGTTTTAGCCCATTAGTAAAAAAGGTTCTGGGTGTAAGTAGTTACTCGAGAAAGGTTTAAGTTGAACATTCCTGGTCAGTAAATCAATATCCAGTGAACCTTTAAACCAAAAAGCAAATTGGTCATTCTTTTTGGAACGCGCCGCAAAAAGGATGTTTGGACACAGAATCAGTCCGCATTTTTGCTGCTTTAGAAATAATAAGGGTTTCCAACATACCGTCCACATGTCACCAATTAACTTAGCCAGACTGCGTTCTCGTTCTTCACATGTGTCTGAAATGTGCTAGATAGGTTATACAGAGAAATGTTAAAACGAGAATGCCGTGATACATTTGCGATATTTTATTTCACTCTAAGTTTACAAGGGAGGAGTTGTACTCGCAAGCTTCATTAAGCATTGTCCATCAACAAACTTTAATATCTCAATTAATGTGACCCAACAATTGTTTAACAGGGTAGAAAACAGTAATCTAGTAGTCGAAACTCTTTAAGTGTTATTTTTATCTCTGACCGTTTGTGGGTTGAAAATGATTATGGGCCGTTCACTTCTTTTAACACCGTTGATTGTTTTCTACGAATGACATTAGTTTTGTGTGTTATTCCGCATTGAACAACTCTGGATCTCCATTAGTCGCACATTTCTGTTGATTCCTGCGATAACTGTCTTCTGGAAGAATAGTTTTTAGGTACGTTGGCTTGAAATTACAAGACCACGCCTTTGTACACATGCATGTGCAATTCATCTGCTCTAAAACCCAATCGTATATTGCCACCTATTCCGAAGTTATTAGCGTGTTTTTCTGGCTTTCTTATGTCATTATCACCGGGTATAAATGCCTTGATAAAACGACAAAGAAAGGTAAGATATCTCTGTTCCTCCAGGCCAATACTGAAATGCTTTGTAGTAAACCTTCGTTGTTAAGTGAGATAAATTCCTATGAATACTTTAAGGAGGATCGTTTTTTTCAAATGGCATTTATAATAGAGTTAGACTCTAATGTGCTCCATAGTTCTCGCTAAAAACCAACTTCACTTTTACCTGGCACGAACTTTTCACGGGAACTTCACATTTCGTGGCACCAAGTTACGGATTTACTTATTGAACAACGGCGTTTATATATTGGATCCATCTAACCTAGCAAGCCACACGAGAAGGTGAAGCGTGAAATTCCGACCACAAAGGTTACTTCATCTGGAGGTACCTGCCTCGTGAATACGGAAGTTGGATTAAAGAGTGACTGCTTGGTTTAAAGATTAGCGAAGGACAGAGTTGAGAGTGCATAGTCGGTGTTTGAACTTAAAAGTAATTTTTGTCGATTATTTCTGTGAAATGAACATAAGCACAATCATATTCTTTAAACACAGGCTAATTTACTTTTCTTGGCTTCAGCAGCTGAAGGTCTGAATTTTTCCGCTGCCGGCTGCAAAACTCACCGCATTATACCCACTGGTTCATGAGGCAAAACGTAGAAAATTGCATGTCAGTAACTTTAGCTAATGCACTCAAACACTTCCGTCACCAAATCTGGATTTTTCGCGTCAGGTAGCCATACAACTGACAATATTGTTTGGAATAACGGAAGACGCCGGTCAAACGATAGGTGCGTTCAATCAGTCTTAGGTCTGAACATTACATCTGATTGCAGGCCTAACGAAACTTCTTCCACAGGACAATATCCATAGACCTGGTGACAACTACTGTACCACCTTAACCGGTTTGGTTTTTTTGAGCTTATCAAGTGACATATTTCGCAAACAATGATACAGAGGGGAAATTTAATTGATTCTCCGTTAAAACCGTCTTAGTTTGCTTAATCTTTTCTTCCTGGCGGACTATAAGCTGTTACAGAAAACGGGAAAGCAAACAGGACTGACGATGCCTTTAGCAATCCAACCGATTCATCGTTTTTTATTTAACCGCTGCTCAACTTCAGTTGGATTTTAGCCCAAAGCTGAACTACGGTTACACCTAAACTAATAAGTGAACATCTAAACTAATCTGAGGTTCGCTGGAGTACTTCAACAAGAAAACAATGAAGCATTGAAAAATTTCTTCCATAGCCATTTCATTTCATGTTAAATACCAACAGTCCGTAGCAGAATAGTATGACAGACTTGTTACATTCTGGTTGAGCGGTTTGACTAAGGAAAACTGGATCTGCGAAATACACTCATTTGCATACTCGTTTGGTTTTGACACCTGGAACCAAGCTGAATCCCTCGCTTGTGGTGTTTCTAATCAATTAGAACATAAAGTTGACTAAAACGCAGGAATTGCGCCTACCTGATGAGTTCCAAGAACTTTAAAACCGGTAGTGGGCAGTCGAAGAGTTTCCAGCAACCTGTTAAGTAGTAAACTACGTCAAAGCTGCATCCAATTGTTTAGTCTGATGCGTTAAGTACACAGCTTTATCCTTTGATATTGGGCGATTTTTCGTTCTTGTAGTAAGGTTATTCACAAGAGTTTTTTCTTAGACAAGCCTCAATTACCCATTAAAGCAGAGGAGAATTAACTGAGGAAAATTAAATGCACTTATCCAGTGGGGTCCAGTAATGGACCAGTTCCAAAAACCACTTTTGGCTTATTTTTTGACCACCCACCTTCTAAGCCATCCGAGTAATGACTATTTTGCTGGTTCCGTCAGTTAGTGTACTCAGATATCAATAAGCAAGAAGCCATAAGAGAGCAACGGTCATTAAAAAGCAACCAAAAAATGCTGAATCGTTCATTCTTGTCAATTGAGGTGCCCAAATAGAGACACCAGGATGTTCCAAGCCAGAAGTAAGCACCATCCGGTCCGATTTTGGATTTTGTATGACCACTTTTGGCTGAAAATTGGCTGGATAATCAACTCGAAGGAAATGATTTTTCATTCCAGCAAAAATGCGCTCGCCCAAACCGTTCTTTATGGTAGCGTGTCTGGTGCTGCTATATTATTCCACCGCCTTGGCAATCATAGGAGAAACATCTGCATCCGAGATGGACAAGCCAGAACCAGACTACAAGTTGCTAGCGGAAATTGTGACTAGCTCGCCTGAGGCCCTACGCATGTATATGAGATTCCTCAGTGACTGGGAGAAGATTGCTGCAAGACCAAGGTAATATTCAGTTTTTCTGTTCATTTTTTACTTATTTTACCCTAAAAATGATACCACGAGTAACTAAATCTTGTCCCTTGAGCCCATCACTATCGCACGTAGTGTGAAATCTACTTCGCAATTGGCCTTTGCTAATTTCGTTTTTATACGATCTCTTAAACATTTATTTGTCTTGACTAGTTTGTTTCCCTGTGCTAACCACTAAAAAATCAGACGCCAAACATCCTACCTCAATGTTCTCTTGTCGTTGAACTAACTGCTTAGATTAGCAAGTGTACAGGAAATCTAACGCAAAATAATTTTATTGAGACCTATCAGAGTTTTTGAACGCTTTGAAGCAGCCGAGAGTTATTTCACACTTCTCAAGATCCTCGTGGATGAATGAATAGCCTACAAAAAATATACTTGAAGGGGGTGATCGAGATGTAGGATGCGGTTAGCAACTAACCGACTGCTCATCCTGTAAAATACTCACAAGTTTCGCCCCAGGCGCTTAACTAAGAAATCACTACTATTCCCCTCTGGCGTGTGTGTAAATCTAGTCGCTGGCTTAATCACGCCGTATTAAATGATGATTACAGCTAATCAAAAGGTCAAGCGACGGTTCTTGTTACACTTACCTGGTATGACAAAACGAGAGGCAACGCGCAGCGGAATGCTTATTAGGAACTAATCACATTATATTTCATCAGCTTACACAATAATCTATAATTCACGTTTCTTATTCACCTTCTTTTTTCTCCAGATACGGATAAACAAACAAAACCTTTTCATGGCTCTGGAAACCAAGTTTTCCAAATAAAAGGACTTTAGAGAAATTGTCTTCCATTCTCGTCTTCCAGGGGACAGACCATTGTGTGCAGTTTTTGAGAAATGACTTGCTTCACTTGCAGATAACTGGATACGTTCAAGGATTTGTCATAACGACCCAGATCAATAACGGCGTCTTAGTACCTACTGTTCGCAAGTGTACGTAAATTTTACTGTTTAGTATTTGGGACTGTCGCGATTTTTTCGTAATCGGCTCAAATGGCACGGGGAACGACTTTAACAATAATCGTCAAGCACTTTAAGATTTTTGATAATCCATGGGGTGCAAGCACCCTGTAGTTACAAGAACCATTTGTGTTCCTCATAAAACAACATAGGTTTTGTAAATATTACGTGGAAATTGCTATTTGGAACGTTGGAAACTTCGTCGAGTCCAGCGGACATGGAAAGTGTAGTAGGCGAGAAGGAACGCAGCGGTATCGGGTAAAATCCAAATAATTGCTGCGCAACGATCAAAGCCCACGAGAGATGAGCAATTTATCATAGACACATATAGGAATGAATTTTAGACTTCCGTACTGACTTAGGTGAATGGATTAAACATCAGATGAGAACAGGACCTTGTTTTCTCACTGATTTTCCGTATAACTTCCAATTTGAACGGCACAGGCTGATACTTTACTTCTTCGGTCAGCAGGGTTCAAGCATTTTTATCACTGGGGGAGTTTATGTCAAGGAGAGGCATAAATGTGTCAGATGGGATATGAAGGTGCGGATAGTTTTTGTTCCTGGTTGTCCATACATTCATGGTGCTACAGTGCAAAATGGTGCATTATGCTATTGTCTGTCAGGCGTTTTTCACTATTCTTCCACACAAATGTTCATGACGTTTTCAACTTTTTGGAGCGTGTCATCAACGGGAGCTTTTCTGGAATAAAAATATGGGCCATATAGGCACCATAACCTATCCACTTCAGTGGGGTAACTCCAGATTCTTCATTCAGCGGCACAATGAGCAACGGTGTTTTACTCTGCCATCTGTGTAGTCCAAGACCTGATAGACACAGCGGTTCATATGAGTTCCTTCACACTGCCAGATTAAGTTAACCTACCTCTCCACTCACCGTGTCTTCAAGCGTGGCTCCCAATCTTAATTTCTACCCAAATTATTTTTCATGGTATGCATAAACGGTAATTTCTTTGATCGTACACAGAACACAAGACCCACAAATGAAGCTTGATGCTCTAACTTCATGGACACGATATTAGGCGGACCAAGAATTCACTTGTAAGGATTGATGGAAAATCTCGGCATTAGGTCCCATTTGTAAAAAAATACAATGGCACGGAGTTTTCGAATCCTAGCCGTAATACCCTGAATACATGGACCACTGAAATAGTAATTGTCTGTCCTTATATCCTGTTTTATAGATCTACGGATCCTCTTAGTATAAGCATACCCTGCGGCTAGTTAAAATTCTGGAACCTGCCCCATCCAGAAATGCTAGCAAGTGTGGTTTTATGGAATGAGATTGGGATATCAATGCGAAAAATAGGGTAATTTCCGAATTCGCTGTAGTGTCTCATTTTACCAGTATTCCTCCTCGAGCAATAAGTACTATCCCCTATGATTCTGTTAGGGAAAAACATTTCTCTGTAAGACTCACCCTAGACCATGCCTGTAAATTATGGTGAATATGTACGAATTATGTGCTATTTCTTCCTAGTGAGAAGTGTTAGTGACATCATCAGTGGAAGAAATACATGGCTTGTGTTTCCTTACCACACAGTATATCGCCACCAAGGTATTTCACTTTGACCTCCTAATTGAAAAGCATAAAATATAAGGTACAAATTGGGGACCTTATAACTAGGCTATCACAAATATACGAGGTGCGTACCAGACAATCCGGAATGTAACTGACAGTTTGAGCGTCACTGACGTCGGTTAGCTGCCATATTTTCCAGCTTCTTCCGGAGGATCCTATCCTGGAGGGTGGATAGAACCAACAGTGTGAAGTATTTTAGTCAAACACTCCACTCTCTTCCATTACGTAATTTTCCGTTCAGGTCTGAGTTCCCGCCAGGCAGTAACTAGGTATGCATAACAGGTGGCCCAGCAAACTTGGTTTGCAATACTGACTACACTGTTTCCTCAAATACCCGTTTCCCCATTGCCTCATTCCAAACTCGCTTGTTCCAGTCAATAACAGACACAGTTCTGAGAAATCGAGAGACAAAGACATGGAGACATCCTCCGCCCGAAATGGCCAATTCCAGCAGCCCGCATGTGTGCTTTGAGACTCAGGGGTATGCTTAATTGATCCCACAAGTGGTGCAACCTGGTGAACGCAAACGTGGCTTGGAAGATTTGTGCGCTCACCAAGTCTGTCTCACTAAATTCAGATCCACTGCAACTTTGGAGATTACATTGTGTTTCACAAATCCTAGTGTCCCTCCATGAATTTTTAGAAGTCTTTTCGAAGACAATGCATCCGGTAGCATAAATTTCCACCTTATGGATATGAAACATGTTCTGAAAGACTAAACATCCTTTGTCAGCATTCCTAGTAGCGCTTGCGTTTCCGTTTTTTTTTAGAGTGAAAACAGTGTCACCTGTATACGTCAGATCTAAAAGGCCTCCGCTCATAAAAGCATAAACACCGGTGCTTTGAAAGCCCCGGGAGGGCCTTTGAGGGCCAAACCCATTACCTCATCAGTGCGGAAACTGAGCAAAATGGAGTGTATGGACAAATATTTGAACACTGCTGGTAGGGGGAATTTTGGACAGATTGATTTATAGTTTCACGCGTCTGGAGAATATTCTGCTTAAGAAGCGTGCAGGGAGGAATAAACCGATGGACAGAATTGAGTGCACCCTTGAAGTCAGGGATGCAAGGTGCCTGTACGCATATAGCTTGCCGAACACATGATAGGTCACGGATCATTTGCACAAGAACCCTACTTACTCTTCTCAGGTAGCCCATTCACGGACACTCGTGGGACTAGGTAAGAGAAGTAGTGAGATGAGTTCACATGCAACCGGGGTGAAGGAAATTCCTTTAACCTCAACATTCCCCGCATACACCAGCAAAATTGCGCACAAATGTCTCTTACTTCAGTTGGATGGGACGCTCTGTTTCACCCAGAAAAGGATACATAAGCAAAAATAAAATAAAGATTTTATGTGAAGCCTCAAACACATTGTGTTGAGGTTCTGCAATACCATCAGCTCAGTAACGCTTAAAAGGAGAACTTCAATCACATATTTTCGAAACCATCCGAGGTTCCAGCTTCATTGTCTAGGGCCCCATTGCAGCTTGTTAATCTGACTGATCGGTGCCAGTTAGTACTCAAAGTGCTGTTTCTGAGTTGGTGAAGCCATTTTTTAACGAAATGTTTCTCTCCTTAGGGTCTTTTATGGGCATGTTGCTTGTCTCAGCTGAGATAATTTTCCAAAAATTCCCACATTTTTTTCCTTCCTCCATCTCCTCAAGTTTCGGTGTCTTCCCGATCGCGTAGATGCTCCTTTTTACCCGGCGTTGAGTTGATTTGTAATTTTGACTAACAGGAATACGTGTGAGAGTAATTTTTGGGTTTCGCTCAAAGTTCGGCGCTTAGATACAATTTATCGCGTAATCTAGATAAGTGCAGATATTACATCGAAAGACAATGAGTAACAGACTTATCTGTCTGTTCTTAAGAATGGACAACGCAGCTAAAATGGGGAAAAAGAACGAATACGTGAAAGAATGATAGGATAGACTTCAGCAGTAACCATGGTTCTACGAAGGATGGGGTGAAACCGGGGGACCTAGTTTTAGTCAGGGGAACGACTGGGATCTTCAACCAATGCTTTCGGCTGGGAGGCCGCACTGCTTACCTAAGACCGTCAGAGGCGTCTTCAGATTTTAGGGAGTAAAGCACCGCACTTATTTCACTCCAAGAAATGGAAGACCAGGAAACAGCTCTGAGAAGATACAGGACACTGAGCATCTTGATATAAGAGGCTGTGTCATTATCGTCTACACGCTTCCCAGTACAGCTCTACCGATCTTGAATGTGCGCGAACCAACACATGGCGTCAAGGTCCTGTCTCGTTCTGACTGACGGCTATATGGGGACACATTAGGACCGGGTTTCATTAATCTGTTCATGAGCTACTAGAACAGTGGCCGTCGGTAAAATTCCAAAAATTGTTCAAATAATAGATGGACATAATTCGGCTGATAT